GTGTGTAAACAGTGCCTGTTACAATAGGGGCATTCAAAGAGCAACTTCCTAATTATTTAAAAATGAGGTGTGGGAGGAAAGCAAGGCGGGTGGTTTGCTTGGAGACGGGTGGGCTAGAGCTAGCATCGCCTCTGGCAGTTGCCCTTGTTGCACCTTGTTCGGCTGGTTAGTTAGTTACCTGGTCATAAAAGGACACCAGGTTTATCAGGTACAATCTACCTTCCACAAAGCCGTGCTGGTTGTTTCTTAATAACCTGTCAGTTACAAGCTTGTGATTGACAGCATCTTTAACAATTTTTTCAAAAGTTTTTCCAAGGACCAAAGTCAAACTGACTGGTTTGTACTTTGCAGGGTCATCCCTCCTCCCTTTCTGAAAGGTGGGCGAGACCACTTCTGAGTTCCACAACTGTTCGAATATCTTCGCCAAAGGCCCTGCTATGGGTTCAGGCAGTTCTTTCAGGACTTTTGGATGTAGGTCATCTGGCCCAGCAGATTTGAAAAGGTCCAGTTGTTCGAAGAGGGCCCTCACTTGTTCGGGACTGATTTCATGTTGTCTGTAGGCTTCTCTCTGTCTTCTGGGCCTCTGGATGGATGCGCAGCTCCTATTAGCCTTCTGGAATACCGATGTGAAGTATTCATTTAGTAGCTCAGCCTTTTTTGTGGGAGTCAGCTGTCAATATCTTCACCAGTGACCTGGAAGATGGGATGAAGTGCACCCTTAGCAAGTTTTCAGATGACACCAAGCTGGAGGAAGTAGTAGATATTCTGGAGGGTAGGGCTAGGATTTAGAGAGACCTCAAAAAATTGGAGGATTGGACCAAGCAAAATCTCATGAGGTTCAATAAGGAGAAGTGCAAAGTCCTGCACTTAGGATGGAACAATCCCATGCACCAGTGCAGGCTGGGGGCTGACTGGTTAAGCAGTAGCTCTGCAAAAAGGGACCTGGGGGTTACAGTGGATGATAAACTGGATATGAGCCAACAGTGTGCCCTTGTTGCCAAGAAGGCTAACGGTATCCTGGGCTGCATTGGTAGGAGCATTGTCAGCAGATCAAGGAAAGTGATTCTTCCCCTCTGTTCAGCACTGGTGAAGCCATATCTGGAGTACTGTGTTCAGTTTTGGGTCCCCAATGCAGAAAGGATGTGGGCAAATTGGAGAGAGTCCAGTGGAGGGCAACAAAAATGGTTCAGGGGCCACGGCACATGACTTAGGAGGAGACACTGAGGGAACTGGGCTCATTTAGTCTGGAGAAGAGAAGACTGAGGGGGGATTTAATAGCAGCCTTCAACTTCCTGAAGGGTGGGTCCAAAGAGGATGGAGCTTGTCAGTTCTCAGTGGTGGCAGATGACAGAACAAGGAGCAATGTTCTCAAATTGCAGCCACAGAAGTTTAGGTTAGATATTAGGAAAAACTTTTTCACTAGGAGAGTAGTAAAGAACTGGAACAGGTTACCTGGAGAGGTGCTGGAATCTCCATCCTTGGAGGTTTTTAAGACCTGGCTAGACAGAGCCTTGGCTGGGATGATCTAGTTGGGGATCATCCTGCTTTGAGCAGTGGGTTGGACTAGATGTGACCCGAGGTCTCTTCCAACCCTCATGTTCTCTGATTTTGTGAATGGCTTTATGCAGTGGGTTGCTCTTGCCACAAGGTGACAGAGGAGAAAGTAATACAGTAGTATGTTTGCATAAGTGGGGGGCCAACCATTCTTCCAGATGTGCCACAAATTAGCTCCAGACCCTCCTTGAGTGCCACCCACATCCCCTTTCCTTCCCTGATCTGCTGCTTTGCTTTTTTCTTCCTACCAAGTGTTCCTCATCTGTTCTTCTGCTCTGCTTTCTGCACCTACCCAATCTGCTGCTGCTGCCTGTTTCATCTTCAGGCTCCTGTTTGCCATGCAGAGGCTGCACGTGACACTTGTGACATGCATGCTGCAGGTTGGGCATTTGCATTGAATAAATGGTTACCCCAGGGCAAGCTGTGAACTGACACCCATGGAATTTTATCCATGGGACTTTTAGATCAGATATGAGCAAGTTACTCTAGTGTGGGGCTGTACCTTGTGTGTCCACTCCTATTTTACTCAGGTATAAAGCCTGATAACCCCAGTGTAAGTGTGCTGTGTGTCCAGATCCTTAGCATTTATTCTTGTCAGCCACCCTGCATTGTGTCTAGTGAAGAAATGTAAGCAATTGAAAGGCACTGATCAGAATTAGGCCGTATACCACAATCTCCCCCTATGTCCAAGTCCATTGGGGACTTGGAGTCCTGCTCTCTAGAGCGGGTTGTTACTGATGCTGTATTTTGTGCATAGTTCGGGGGATATGAGATGCACTTTGTGGGCTACAGGGTGCAAGTTTGACATCGACTTCACTGGTGAAGTAGTGAAGATGATTTCAAGACCGGAAGGAACATAGTAAATGGGGGCTCTCTGGCACTGGTGGATTGTAAAACATGGCCCTGCCCTGCAATCCAAGGCCTGGGGCTCTAGTGCTATTCAGGGAGGTGGATGAAACACGGGTGCTGTTTCCGCTGCCTGGCATGGAGCAACCTGGCTGTAATTGGGTCCCCTGGCAGGACTATTTGAGTGGTAGGGTTGCTGAATGGGGGTGTTATGCCAGGCTGTGAGGAAGCAGCTTGGGATGCGTCATGGAAAGGCTGTAAAATACCGAGGCAGGAAGCCCTGGAGTCCTAAACAATGTTCAGAGCAGCATCGATTTCCAGATGCAGCAATTGTGGGTGTGGGGGAAATCGAGAGCCCTTTTTGAACTCTTCCCAAAGAGGCAGGGTCAGCAGGTGATGATGCATCCTTCCTTGCAGGTGCAGCCCTCTCCTCCGAATTGCCCCCTTGGCAATAGCTGGTGGCCGTTTAATGGAGGAATTGCTGCCCTGGCCCTGTGTTTCACCCCCCATCCCTTTCACTGAGTGCTTGATCTGAGAGAATTGGGAGAATATCTGTGGTGTTTATTTTTTCCCTTTGGCCTTTACAGGGCCAACAGAAAAGGTAGCTGGTCTTGTTGGATATAATAGAACTGTTTTTATCACTGCCATGCTGCCTGCCAGCTTTCCACAGATGAAGGGGTTAAAAGTTTGAGTCCTTCCTCTGCCACCGATTTCCCAGAGGCCTTCAGGGTGCTTATCCTCTCTGGGAGTTGTAAAAAGGGGATAACAGCCCTGCCCTGCTTTATGTGGGGGGGCCGGTTCAGGAGCGTGAGGTGTTTGGGTATTGCGGTACCAGGGGGATCATTTCGTGCCTGAGTCATTGTGCTATGGGCTGTACATGTTCATAGCAAGACCCAGTCATGGTCTGAGAGAGATTGCAGTTAAAATGGACAAAGGAGGTGGGGAGCAGAGGCACGGAGAGGCGAGGTGATGTGTCTGGGGTCACCCAGCCAGGCTTTGATAGAACTGGCAATAAAACCCCAGTATCTGGGCTTGTAGTCCAGTGCTCTGTGCATGGTGAAAGAGATGCGACTGGGTGAAAGAGATGCCATGGCTGGGTCCTCCCAGGGTCCTGACCCCACACCTGGTGTATCAGAGATGCAACAGACATCCCCTTAGTGAGCACGTGGGCCAAGCTCTCACTGGGCTGGGATTGCAGACTGGCACTGTCCCATCCTCTCCTTCCCCCACCTCTTTTAATGCTGAGGAAGGAGAAGCATGCCCCTGCTGTGCTGGTCTCTTGGCCGCGATTGTGAATTCTTAACTCTCTTTCATTTTAAATGTTTCATTTTACTGCGGCTCCCACTTGTCAGATCAATAAGGACAGTGAACAGCTGCAAGGCGCAGGGATGCTGGGGTAGAGATGCTCTAGGGAGTTCAGCACGGTGATGGTATGTTGCCCCTCTTCCCCATACAGCGATCAGGGTGCAGGGATAGAAGCCACCCAGCTGTCTTCTATGGGTATATTGTGTGGGCAGAAGTGTGTGATGGCAGGTATTATTTGCAGAACAGTGGCACGGTGAAGGGCCTCTGGTCATACCCATGCTCTCCAGAGACTTTGCGTGAATGAAAGCAGAGTAAGGGCATCTAACAGATGCCTGGAATCGTTTTCATGCTTAGGAATGGGAGAAACTAGGAGATCTCCGGCATGGTTTAGAAAGGGTTGGCAAAGGAGGGTTAGGGAATTCCTGACTGCCTTGCGAAGTGACCAGCAGCCTAAGGAAATGGGACTTGGAGCAAGTTGGAGACAGCCACTGCCATCGTGTGGAAGGGGCTGGGAGGGTGAGACTTCAAGGAGGGACAATTAAATGCTGATAATATCTGGCTTGGGAGGCTTCCAGGCACTGCATGCTGGTGCGGTGTATTGGAGGCGTGCAGCGAGAGGCAAAGGAGCTGACAGCTTCCAAGCAGGAGGGCTCTTACACCTTGGCCTTGTGTCCGCAGCAGGGGATTGGGTCTCTGCCACATGGGACACCTAAGATCCAGGAAAGTGCACTGTCTCCTCCACTGCTCAGGGTTGTTGTGCATGGTGCTGCACACATAATCCCAGGTACTCTCTGCCTTGGAGATCCTAGTCTAACTTGACCAAGAGCAGGAGCTACAGGACAGTCAAATGACCTGCCTAAGGTCACCCAACTCACTGGTGGCAGAGATGGGTGGTGTGGGAGGCTTAGCCTGAGGCTGGGTGGCAGAGCGGTGCCAGCTTTTGCCTAGGTGCACTTCATTCCTGGTAGAGATTGGCATCTTTGTGCGAGAGGGAGGCGGGTGTGGGAGGCAGAAGGCAATTGTAGCGATGTCAGTGCTGTATTTCAATGAGAATGTGTTCCTCTCCCGGGGGTTTGGGAGCATTGGCTGCCAGCTACCTTGGTGCTCCTCACAAGCTGTGGAACAATTGAGTCCTCTGCTGGGGAGTTGCGTTGCTCACAGGGACTGCTGACCTGTCTCCCTGGAGCACTCAGCCCTCCTGCTTCCTGTGCAGGGCTCAACTGACTGCTTAAGCATGAGACTGTTTGGGCCAGTGGTTGCTCAGCGCCACCCTCAGTGACTCCCACACCATGCAGCTCAGCTGGGTCCTGCCAGGCTGTTTGCAGAGCAGGGCCAGCCTAAGTAGAATATGTTGGTCACTGGGTTCTTTCTTTCTGGGTGCTTTTCCCTGCCTAAGATGTCTGCATGGCCACCCCCTCCTGCCATATCTGGAAGCGTCACCATCCCATCTGGGGCAGGGGGTTGGACCTGATGATCTGTATAGGTCCCTTCTGACCCTAAGTACTATGATACTATCCCTCATGCCACCCCTGCAAGGCCTGCTGCCCACTGTATTGGGAGGTGCAGAGGCAATTGACTTGCCCAAGTCATCCCAGGCACTTATGCCAGAGCAGAGGATTTGAATTCAGGTTCCGTGAGCCCTGGGTTGGATCCCTGACTGCTTGACTGGTTTTCTCAGTGAGGCTTTGCCAAACACTTTGCTGATTTTCAAACCATCTCATCCCTTTGCCTCCACCTTCACAGTTTTTCTCTCCACAGACTTTGCATCTCCAGACACATTTGTGTGTGTGTCTTCTCCCTGTGTTCCTGAGGGTAGAGCAGAAAGATCCTGTTCCCTGGGCTGGGCACGCCATGGCTCTGACCCCCAAGGGCTATGCTACCCACAGCCTTCAGGCTGAGGAGAAATTAAACAGCAAGAGAAAGGTAGGCGATTCCTTAGGGAAGGTGCCAGATTTACTCCTGCTTGCCATATCAGATGGGGGCAGGGGGATGAGTTGGAGTCTGAGCAGGAGCAGTGTACTGGAAGCAAAGGCTTCAAGTCCTGTTTCGAGGAGCTTTGCTATTGCAGGAGCTACCACCCACTGAGCGAGTACTAGAAGCCTCTCTCCTGAGGTGTCTGAGACCCACACTTCTAGTGGGCACCCCCACCTTGTTTCCAGTTGAAGAGGCAGCTTCCACAGAGCAGTGTGGCAGGCTGGAGGGTGCCACGGCCCCACAGATGAGGACTGTGGCTCTCTGAAAGCCAGTGGGGTTCAGGCACTCCAGTCCTAGGAGCCATTTTTGGGCCAAGCTTTTATTTCTGGTACAGGGTCCCGGGGGACAGGGGAAGGAGGAGCTGGGGGTGACAGATTTTTTTCATAGATTTTCATAGACATTAGGGCTGGAAGGGACCTCGGAAGATCGAGTCCAGCCCCCTGCCCCAGGGGCAGGAAGTCAGCTGGGGTCATAGGATCCCAGCAAGATAAACATCCAAATTTCTCCTGAAGGTGTTCAGAGTAGGTGGTTGAATCACCACTGATGGCAGGCTATTCCAGAGCTTGGACAGTAAAGAAGTTCTTCCTTATGTCCAGCCTGAAACGGTCTTGCAGGAGCTTATAACCATTCAACCTCGTCATCCCTTGGTGCACTCTGGTAAACAAATGTTCCCCCAGATCCTGGTGAACACCCCTGATAGACTTATAGGTAGCCATCAGATCGCCTCTGAGCCTGTGCTTTTCCAGGCTGAAGAGCCCCATGGCTCTCAGCCTGTTGTCGTAAGGTCTGTTTTCTTGACCTGATCATGTGTGGCTGTTCTCTAGACTCTCTCAAGCTTCTCAAGATGTTTGTTTCCTCAGGAGAAGGCCTGGCCACCGGCCGTTGGGATGAAGCTGGAAATCATCACCCCTTTCCTGGGTGTGCACCGCCCCTTCGTGGGACGCTGCTGCCAGATCTGCACCCCTAGGAGCTGGGTAAGGGAGTGAGGCAGGACCAGGCTGGGGTCAGGGTTGGGCCTTTGCTTCCATGTGCTCCTCGTTGAGGTTCCTCTCAATGAGGGCCACAGCAGATTGGCAAGGGACTTGTTCACAAAACTGGCTCTGCTCTGGCAAGCAGCAGCCTCCTCCCAAAGGTGAAGGGGAAACTTATTCATTGAAGTGCATCCCAGTAACACCTGCCTCTCCTTCTGCCTTCAGGAATCCTTTTTCCACAAGCATCTTCACTCCTTGGGCTTCCACAATGCCATCCGGGTGACGGAGGAGGACACCAGGTTAGAAGGGGCAAGGGTTAGATGGGAGATCTTTGGGCCATGCCTCTGTGCTGGAGTAATTTCCTTCTCTTTTCAGCTTGCCTCTGGCTTGTGTCCACTCTACGACGGAGAGGTAGCTCAGGGCAGAGATGTTGGTGTGAACTCACCCCTCTGGTCCATACCCATGGCCCTGGTTGGGCCTGTATAGCCTAGGTTGCCATGTTTGCTGTTCTTAGCATCTGCTGTAGCTCCATCAAAGCTAGTTGGGGTGAGCTGGCCCACACTACAGTCACTCCTCCGACTTGCAGATGTTGGCTGAGACTGGAGATATAGGTGTCAGGATTCCTGGGTTTCATAGTTTCATAGTTTCTAGGGTTGGAAGGGACC